AAAAGATCACAAATCGTATCTAGTCGAAGACATTACCCTCAAAAATTGAAAAAATTTCCCTCGTTCCCCGTAAATGGGGGAAACCTCCAAAAAAATAACAAATTTAAAAATCGCTAATTTTCGATTTTTTTTACTTAAAACTGCCATAAGTTTTTCAAAAATGAACAAATCAATATAATTTTTTTTTTATAGATGCTTGATGTCTTTACCTATCATTTGGTATATTTTTTTTATAAATTTGACCCTTTACCAGCCCATAGGGGGATTCAATATTACAACTTTTTTACAAAAAATTAACTTTTTCAACTTAACTTTTGAAAGTGTTCCGGAACATCTGACACTTTTATATATATATTAAATTAAAGCTAATGTAATGTACTTTATTATGAAAAAAAAAATTTCGGACTTTATTTTATCTTCATGATGAAAATGACTACCGAATGCTATTTTTGTGTGAAAATTCTCGATTTTATTTTTGAAATTTTTATCTCTATAATGCTGTAACTTATTGAATAGTGTATGGATCAACAAAATTTTTTTATGAGAAATAATATTTTTTAATAAACCCTTTTTCATTCGACATACTTTATCTTAATCGAGATATTAATAAGGAACCAGCAGATCATGTAGCTTTTGGAATAAAACACAAATTTTTTTAAAATTAAACACTATCTAAAGATTTGCATCGAAGCGTTTATTTTTGATAGTGATTTTAATCACTGTCAGATATCATTATACTTGATCCAACTATACCACGGCATCACTGTAATTTTTCAATATTTTACAAAATTAAAGCATCAAATTATAAAAATTCTGATATATGGAAATTTGTTTTATTTTTCAATCCCGCATAACCTCTTCATTTTTTTATCAATATTACAAAATAATATATCATTTTCTTTGTTATGTATTAGAGTATAATGTCTATTGAGTATACTGTTGATAAATTTATTTTTTATTGGTGTATTTTATGTAAAACTCTGAATTTTTTCTGACATTTTGAAAAAAATGATAAAAATTCAGTGGTAAATTCGTATATATCAAATGAGAAAAAAGTCAGATAAAAAATTGTTTGAAATTAAAGTTTTTGGTAATTTAATATTGTTTAATTTTATGTAAAAAAAATGAAAATCGGTTGAATGCAATTAAAAATATTTAGAATATATTGAAAACACTTTTTCGCGGCACACGAAAAACGCTAATATCACAATAACTCAAAAACTGTTCTACTTTTTTATTTTGGACTTCATTTTCGGACTCAGTGGACGATTTTACATAAAAAATGACTATCATAAGTCATGGGTCAGAAAATTTTTTTTTATTTGTAAACTAGTGTAATCTGTTTTAATGACCTATAAGTTATTTATTATATATATGTCAAGTAAAATGTTCCATACCGATTGATAAACAATTGCTATCTTATTTGTTATGTCTTAGTCAATAAATATTGATTCATTAGACAGTATAGAAATATGAGAATACTGTATTTTTAAATAATTGAAAATTTGGTCTAAAATCGCTTAACTTTAGATAAGCAATTGTGTCAGATAACAAAAATGATAAGAATATAATTTTTTTTTATTATATTAATAAAAAAATAAAGTTTCCCATTTAATAAAATAAAATTATAAGATTTTTATCCTTGAAAGGATAAAAAAAAAATTTTAATACATATTATTATAGCTTTTGGTATCTTTTTGGTATATTTTTTTCTTTGAAAATCTTTTTTAAAAATTATTCAGAATTTGAATTCTGAATAATTTCTTAGAAAATGGATGTTTTACAAAATTTTGTTTCACTCAGTATAACTACCGTGCAAGTGTGAAAAATACACAAGATAATTTCTAATCAAAATTTAAAACATAAAAGTTTACTAACTTTACTTAAAAAATATCTAAAATATTACTTTATTTAATTTTTTTTTAATTAATGGTTCTATCAAATTTTAATTTTCTAAATAACTCAGTTTTAAGTAACTAAAATATCTATAAATTATGTAACGAGATGAATGCTTAGGAGGCTTAGCCTCGTTGACGTTACGGTTTCTAGACCTTGATAAAATTGGCTACATTTTATAGTTCCTTTATATTGCGTTTAAAATATACTTGAGGTTCTTTTAATAATTTAAAATAAAAACTGTACATTATCTAGGTAAACAAATGTGTAAAAAAAACATTTAAAAGCTACTAAAATATATCAAGCACCCATTTAAAAGTCAAAAGAATCTTTTTTTTTTTTTTAATCCGAAGATTGGTTAAATGATTATTGATGATTCAGAAATCGTCAATGGTCGGTAGTAGCAGTTACTGCTTCCTTGCGCTACCTCCTTTTAAAAAAACCTAAACTTACTAAAATATTCAATACAAAATTTACAATTTAAATTTCTTGTGGTATGAAACAATTTGTATATATGAGACTTATTTTTACATATACACAAAATAGGATATTAGCACATTTTTTAATATCTGCCCTATAAATTAAATAATTGTAGCTAATTTATTTTACTTTATTAATATATGTGTGATAACTTTGTAATCAGACACAATAAAATAAGTAATCTTTTATTCAGAAGTATAAATTATAAACTATCTATTTTTTGATCCATTCTTTGTTTATAATTAATCTATTAGTTATTATTGTAAGCGTGCTTGTAGTGCCCTTCGGTCACTACTTTAGAAATAACAAAATTCAAGTATTATGCTTGTTTCATTTTAGGTTACAAAGAAAAATTCTAGGAAAGTTGTTTAGGGGAATAAATTTATTTACATATCCATATTTGTTTTTTCAAAAGCTTAAATTGAACAACAAATTGTTTTATTACATTCTTGAGTTATTATAGCGGCCTCTATCGTCATCATTTAATAACAATATTTTCTTGAAGTTGTGGGTTATTATAGCGGCCTCTAACGGCTTCAGTTAGTAGCATGTATTAAGTAACTAAGTTGTTACCGAATTATTAAATTGATAAGAAATAGCTAGCTAGAAAATGGTCACTTCACGCTGGTATATTTTTTCATTCCATCATAAACGTCATTTAATATTTTATCACAGACTAGATGATAATACAATTGATAAAATAAAACATTATCATTTACATAGACTATAAACTTGGTTAATTAGTTAATAGTCGTTTACCCCAGTCCGCTTGGGGCGCTGCAATGTTACTTTAGCAAATAAATAATATTCAACATTTTTTGTTTATGATAAGAAAGTTCGTTAAGTTTTATAAGTTCGAAAATTTTAAATGTAATATTGATAAACTTTTTTTAAATGTATTGATAATAATGGTCTTACATACTAGTATAATTTGAGTAGTACTAGTTTTTTCTGTGTAATATTGCTGAAGAAAATTGTTTGAATATGTCATTTGAAATGTAAACATTTAATTTTCATTGTTTCAAATGTAGTACTTAAATTTTACAAACATTTTTTTAATTTTATTAGAGAATCTTCAAAAAGTATCAATTTAAGCAATGATGATAAACAAGAACCTGATTCTCATCTAAGTTTAGATACATTTAGCGGTTCTCTTGTTGGTAAAAATGAGAATGACAAATACTATTTTCCTCTAGTAGAAATAAGCAATGATAGTCTGTTACATTCAGTTGAATTAAATATTCTGTCACATAAATCATCAATAGAAGAAATTTGTAATATATTTAATTATCAACTTGTATACGAATACCCTGCAGAAATATTTTTACAACGACCTTTAATAATACAGGTAGCTTAGTATTTATTAATTTTTTTGTAATAATAAACTGTCACACTCATTTATTTCTTAAACATAGTTATATGAAAACTTTTTGTTTATTGTTTTCTATAGTAATTTTCATTTATACAATTAAAATAGGTTAAATATATTATTTATTTATGTTCTTGTTGGCTAGTCTGAGTTCAGAAAGTCATTTTTTTTTTGTATAAAGAGTTACTGGATATATATTTGAAATATTTGAGTTTACAGAAATTTATACAATGGCTAAGTGAAAACAAAGAAGCTGATTTAGTGTTGGAATGTTTTACTAAATTAATTGAAAAATTAATACAACGGCATGCTGAAAATATTGCTGGGTTATGTGTAAGTAAAATATATTATTATAGTTGGATGTTCGGTATATTTAAAAACCCTACTAATATAAGTTTAAAATAGTCATTTTAATATTTTAAAATAATCTTATGTTTAGAATAATAGATTATTATTATTAGTTATTTTTTTTATTCAAATATAATTAATTAATGTTTAGGAAAATTATAGATATACTGTATCAAATTCTTCAAGTACAATTAATAGTCTTATTGATGACAATAATGTTGCAGTAAGTTTAATATTTATTTATTTATTTTTATTAATTAAGATTAATTAACAATTTTACCTCATCAAAATATTTGTGTTATAGAATCAAACTTGGAGTATTGTTCAACTTTGTTTATCAATGATGCCTTGTGTAATGAAACAAGTGACTTATAATCGGAATGGAGCTTTTTCACTTTTTATTTTGAATTTGAAGTTGTTATTGTCTGTTAAAAACAATAGTAATTTGCAATTTCAAGTGAAGACAATATTTTCAAATTTTCTTTTTAAAACATTTACTTTGTGAGTACTTCTTGTATTATATTTTAAGTAAGTTTTGAAATATAATATTTCTAATTTAGATGAGGTAAAATATTTAGAGTTGAAATATTACAAACCAAAATATAAGCTGTCCAGTTTCAAAAGTACGCACATTCAAAAAAAATATTTTTTATTTTTCTTGATAAATTAGTTTATAACTTGATAGGAAAAAGCAAAATTAAAAAAATTAAGGAAATTATTTTTAATAACAAACAAGTGCATAATTCATATTTCCTTCTGTTTTTTTTTTTTGTATATCCATGTTTAATATTTAAACATGATGAATAATTTTTGAATTTAAGTTAAATATTCAAAATGTTATATAATATATATTATTGATTTTTTTACAGCAAAGATTCTTTGTCTTCACTAAAATTTATGTTTATTGTTAAAATACTACATGAAAATAACTTATTAAATGATAAATTTAATAACATAATAGAAGAAATTTTGAAGCAACCATACTGGATTCATCTTTATCCAAACCTTTGTAATTATTTAGCTGATCAAGTTATTAAAGTGAGTATAAATATTATTATTCATATTAAAAATAAAAAAAATATTCTAATAAAAATATATTTTCTTTTAGAAAAAAATATTGGAATGGGAAGTTTCTAAAATGATAGAAAATGTGTGTATTTTATTANGAATGGGAAGTTTCTAAAATGATAGAAAATGTGTGTATTTTATTAAAAGATAATAATTTGAACAAAAAATATCGTATAAGGTTGTTTAAAGATTCATTGTCAGTTTTATGGTTTCCAAAAACATTCAATTTGTTGATTGATCAATTCATAGAAAATTTATATAGTGAAGAGTAATATTTCTTTTTTAATCTATATAATTTGATTGAAGTAACGAACAACTTTATTTATTTATAGTTGTAGGTGATTCAATATTAGTTGTTCATGTGATATTTTATATAGTTATACAATTTTTATGAACATAGGTGTAAATTAGAATAAGCTTAGTCTCTCCAACAATTTAAAAAATTATATGTATTTTCATATAAAAAAATTTCAGGGTGGGTAAAAATTAATCTAGCTCCTATAAATTTGTTTATAAATTTATGTCTAGGTGATTAACTACAGATATTTTATTTAAAAATATTTAAGGACACACATTTTTTTTAAATTTATTAATTAATTTTTTTGAATATTATAATGCTATACCTAACTCAAATATAATTAAAATATGTCTACATATTTTTAATATGTCATTATCATGCTATAAAAAGTATATTATTCAACTTTATAGATATTCATTTCAAGTAGAAGACGATAATTTGAATATTGAGATTTTATTGCATCTGTTATCTTACGAATATTCAGAAGTTGCATGTTATACATATTTTTTGATTCATAAAACTGCCAAAGAATTCTTAAATGAACATAACTCTCATTTAAAAAAAATAAAAGGATTTATTAATAATGTATTGTGTACTAGGATTTTGGGTGAAATTATTTGCAATGGATGTTCAAGTATAAATGAAAAGGTATTAAGTTTGTTTTTAATTTTGGCCTACTTCGCTCAGTCATATCTTGGTGTATAGGTACATCGGGGTTTATTTCTATTGCTCTGAGCTATGTAGGTTTGATTTTTCTGTTCTCTCAGGCATGAAAAATAACTTTATTTAAAAGAGGATGTTAAAAATAAAAAAATAATACATAATTATAAAAATAATAATTTTTAGATTTCTCATTCTGCATCAGAAATCTTAATACTTCTTTTACAAAGTAAAAATAACAGTACTTGGGAATTAGTTTTAAAAAATTTAATTCCAATTTTTCCAATTCTTTGTTGTCATGCTTCTCATAAAACTGTATTTGGCCAATTAATTATTGACTTTTTTGATCCAGATAAAGTTGAACAACATAAAATATCAAACTTACAGGTAATTCAAAAATTTAATTTATTTTATTATTAGAAAATTAGAAAATACAATGTTATAATTTCTACGTTAATTGTCTTTTAAAATTTTAATTGAACTACTTTGTTAAAGTATCTTATTCCCTTTTGATGAATAAATGTAGTTGTTCTTGACTAAAATTATAAACATAGAACAGTAGAAAAGTAGTAAGTATTTCCTTTTTATTTTTTATTTAGTTATTCCATGCTACTATTTTAATGTTAATGAGTAGAGATAAAAACTGTCAAGCTGAAGCTAATCAAAGAATAACGTGGTTATTAAAATCTACTCTAAATAAAACTATAGTCCTACCTCTAATAACTTCAATTGATGTTGATGTTTTCACTCCAAATTTACAAAAATTTGTTGGTGGATATAATGTAAGATTAAAAATTTTTTTTTTATGTTCTTTAGCACTAATAAAATATTTTGCCTTATTTAGTTAAAAGATTTAGATGAAGTTATGGATTTGATAACTAATAAATGTTCTAATAATCAAACAATAAAATGTGGATTGTATAAAATATTAATCTTATTAGAAAATGACAATCTTTATAAATATTTCTTACAAAAAAATGGAATAGATATTATGTTAAATTTGCTGAAATCAATACAAGTATATTATTCCCAAGATACAATAAATTAATTATTAAATGGAATTCTAATTTGTAATGATCTATTTATAGGTGACTACAAATTCACGTTCGTTGTTAGTTTTAATACTACAAATAATTATGAAATACTTTGAAAAAAAAAGCATTATTCAAAACAAACCCATATCATTACTCAATAATGTAGATTTATTGCTTCATTTGATAACAAGTAAAATTTTTAATTATTCTTGGTAGGACAGTGAATTGACCAATTTTAAAATTACTGTAAAAATCATAATACAAACTGATAAGGTATGAATTTTATTAAGATGTGTTTTTTTTTCAACTCCTATTAAACCCATTTTGCTCATTTAAATGCTAAAATAACATGAATTTATTATGTTAAAGACATTATTTTTTAAATTTGAAAGATATTACTGTTCCTGTTATTAAGGAAAATCACTTAGTAAATTTTTATTGTTAAATGGTAATTTTTTTAATGTGTGTGAAGAATTTTAACATAATACATTAATAAATCTTGGGTATAATAAATATTTTTAATTCTAGATATGTCCTTTTGATTTTGCTATAGACACATTTTGCGTCTATATCATCTAACAAAAGTATACACAGAGCTAAAAGTGAGAGGAGATGTTAGGGATTTCAGATCCCCTACTTCTACCTATGGTTAATAAGCATCCCATTTAGAATTCATTTGAAATATAGATAATTTTATGGATTGATAGGATGTTCAAAGTGGTATAGAGTAATAGCCTTCTTTGTATTTTTTTGTAATTTTATGCCCTAAATAAACCTCTAGGTCATAAAATGCATATACTATACATGTATACAGGGATTCTCCGATGATGTAAACATATAAATTTTTATTCAATAATGTTAAAAAGATACAAGTAAATGCTTATGCTCTAAATACACAACAACAAATTAATTTAAAGTCAAATTATTATTATTTATCATCTAATAATTTTAATTCTTATGAAGTTTACGGCATATTATTAGCTCCATGAATGACACTCTTAAAATTGCTCATATTCATAGATCATTTATTATTAAAAAAACTTTGTTATCATTGTTATTAGAGAATTTATAATTATTGATCACAAAAATACTAGCTGCCATTTTAGTGGGATATAAATGATATAGGGCCAGCAAAGCTCCATTTAGAAATGGCTTAGCAAACTGTTATGACCCTAAAAAAAACATTCCTTGTAATTTTTTAATATTTTAAAAACATCCTTTTTTTCTATGTATTAGCTAGGAATTTATATTATTTATTGATATATTTATAAATAAACTGTTATAAGTTTTTTGAATGTCATATTAACCATAATTTTTTTTTAGTTTTGTCTGATTTTATTGAAGTTTTGTTAGTGAAGAAATACACATTGGCTATATTGTTTTATTGTTCATTTGAAAACTATTTTAATTATTTTAACAAACTCCCTGAACTTGTTGTAAAGAAATTATATATTCCATATGAAATTACAAATTTAAAAATTTCAGAAAGTACTTTAAAATTTTCAATTGCTTCTCAAGGTAATTTAAATTAATTATTAAAATGAACTGAATTTTTAACTTTTTTTTTTTTTTTTAGAGATAAAAAATAATAAATACTGTATGGCAGCAATTAATTTGACGTGGAATTTAAAATATTACAATATTGATTTGATACTTGAAAACAAAATGCCTATTTTTGATAATGACAAAGAATTAGAACATACTCTTGATGAATTTAAAAAATTGAACATTAAATGGTTTTTTAACAAAATTTTATATAATATAGCCAATACAAATTCACAATCTGTGGCTAGAAGTGCTATTTATAGTTTAAAAAGGTAATTATTAAAAAAAAAAAAATTTTTTTAACTTTTTCAAGTTACTTACATTGCCAATTAATTCAGTTAATTTAGAAATATATGATAAATGTTTAGTGTAAATAGTGTGTAACACCCAAATACATAAATTAAATATTTAAGGACTAAAAATTTTAACTTTTAAATGTAGAGTAGTGGGAAAATTGACCCTTCCATTACACCTACCACTATAATATATGTACTTAAAGTACTAAGACCCCTCTCCCAGTCATAACCTCATGTGGATATACTATTGCAATGCCATCTTATTTTAAGTCATAGATATATACTAACTTGAAAATAAGTAACTGATTACATTTTTATTTTAAGTGAAGTAATTTTATTACACCTAAAAATAAATAAAGGATATGTAATTAAATTACATTTTTGAGAGTGTAACTTATTTTTAAAATTTGTGAATTTTTTGTATAAATTTAAAAAAATGACTACATAAAATATAAAATGTAAATTCAAAATAGTTTACAAATTATAACAAAAATATATATTAAAAATTATATTTTAATGTTTCTTTATTGCAATTAGGATATAATTTTCTATGTTCTTGAACTCAGTGTATAAGTAAATCAGCTTTTTCATCGTTTACAGTTAAAGTTCCATCAACTTAACTGCTCTCCTTGTCAAGTTATTTACTACGTTAAGTGAAAATATTTTTTTTTTTCGTGTAATAATCTTCAGTATTTCGATTTCTTAGATCCAAATTTATATAACCTTTTCTTGATATCAAATCGTTTATAAAATTGCATACTGCTGTTCAACAAAAAAGAAGCTACAGTTTTTTCTAAAAAAAAAAATGAATCGTCCAATAGTCATCAAAAAATAAAGATATCAAAAATTATTATACTTGAATATAATTTGTCCATATAATGCGGTGAAGGAATAAAACGTTTTCTGGGGATTATCTTTGACTCATTATTAAGCGATACAACCATTAGTTTTTTTATTAGTTCAAATGGAATCGTCAGAAAAAGACAGAGCAGCTGTTAGTACCATAAATGGTTACAATTTTTGTTTAACGCTGCTTTTGAATCAACGGTTATATATATATATATCAATAATTTTCAACTGCAGAGCAACATTCGACGTCATCTATTCCACAAGTCGCATTAGAAACATCAATGCTATTACAATTTTTTTTTAAGATTTTAATATGATATGGGAATATCAGGGGTTGATGTTACACCTGAGTATGAGGGAATTTTGTTAAAGGTAAATAAACTAAATCTTTCTCTTAATTTTGCTCTAGTAAAACACAAAACGTCCCATATTAGATGCGGCAGTATAACAGCATANTCTCGAACAATTCTTTATAATCGTCTCTAAAATATCCGATTCCTAACATTTCACGAGAAAACTGTAGAATATTATTTCAATAATTTTCAACTGCAGAGCAACATTCGACGTCATCTATTCCACAAGTCGCATTAGAAACATCAATGCTATTACAATTATTTTTTAAGATTTTAATATGATATGGGAATATCAGGTGTTGATGTTACACCTGAGTATGAGGGAATTTTGTTAAAGGTAAATAAACTAAATCTTTCTCTTAATTTTGCTCTAGTAAAACACAAAACGTCCCATATTAGATGCGGCAGTATAACAGCATAGAGCTTGGATAATATTTAATAATCTCAATCGCTTAATAAACAATTAACAATATTAGCTTGTTCATATTCTGTCGATTTTTTTCAGTTTGGGTGTATCAATTAATAAATCTAGATTTTTACTAATTATCACAATTAGTAACCTATAAATATCCGAGTTCATTAAATTTAAAGTTGATTAGGTCTTTCTATGCTAATGCACAATGACATACATAGGAGAATAACTTTGACATTTTTTTTTATTAAATTAGCCTGTTGTAGAGAATCTTTGTTATAACCTAAAACTTCAACTATTGCCTGAATAATTTAAACTGTTTCTCGTGCACTTATTTTACATCGATCTAACGCAGCTACGAGTTTCGGTGTCATGATATTTGTTTGTTCCCTTTTTTCTGTTTTGCTAAAATTTAAAAAGATTTTTCGTTCCCTGATTCTATAAGTGGAGAAGAACTTAAATTATATCATCTGCTAAATAAGGTATACTTTCCATGGAGTTTGGAGTAGATGGACCTACTTGGTATTCACTAAGCCTTCCTGTTTCCCTAATTTTGCGTTTTTTAGATTTTTATTCTTTTTCTTGTAATTTTTGGTCGATGCCTCCTAGACAACCCTTTCGACCAAAGGAAGTCTTTGGTTAATTAAAAATTGTTTATTATTATTTATCTCAATCAAATTTAAAGCAACGGCGTGAGCGATATCAAACAAATTATCAAAATTATTAGTAAACTCAGTTTTTTTTTTGCTCTAAACGTTTCTCTAACTTTAGTTTCTCTAAACTTTTTTTGTGAATTCTTTTATAAAATGCGCCACTTGTCATAAAAATTGACTAAATTATTTACACAGTGTTGAAATGCACGAGTGTAAATTCTAGCTTTTCCTCAAAAAATATTACACTCGGGAATAGTCAATGCTGCACTTTCTCTTATAGTAAGATTAACTTTACTAAGGTTATACAATAAAACCGATAGAACTTAGCAAATCGATGGAAGTTTTGAACCTAAAACTTGAGTTGAAAAAGACCCTATTAAATATATTTTTATAATCACTTTGTAATACTATAGACATTGTACTACGTACACTAAAAAAAAAACACAATAGGAAGCAGTTCAACTTAATACGTGACGAAAGCCATTAAAGTGGTTTAAATATGAGTTCAATATAGTTATTGCGATTTGTAATAAATTTATAGAGTTTTATAAATTTATAAATATAAATTTTTAGAGTTATTTATATTATATATATTACTTAAATATATGAGGACGGCTGATGTAAGTGTGATCGACACTAAGTAGTTGGGATTTTTTCGTTTAAAATAAAAAAGTACAACCTTTATTTTCATTTCCTGAACATATAGTAAAAATAAAATACTTATACTCGTTATTCAAGTTAATATGACATTTTTTCCCGATTTACTTGTATTTATAATGTTGCCTACACTGAACATACTACGTAATCTTTAATCTTATCGGTAAATAATATATCCGTTTAAACTATGATCTTGAATAAAATATATTAAAAAAATTATGGTGTTTTGTTATAAACATTACTGATCGAGCGATAATGTTCCTTAATTAGCGGTCTGTTAATGTATTGTTAAATTTATCAAATCTTCAATTTTCGTTTATTCTGCGTAAGAATAGCTAAACTTTTATATAATATTTGGCTTATTAAATTTACTGTAATATTTAATCATGGCTCTTATTATTCAAAATTCAATTTCCAAGACATTATTTAAATTCTCTAAATTGAAGCCTATATTGTCAGTAAATTTATCAACTCAAGGAACACGTGAATATATTATTACAGAAAAAGTTGGTGAAAAAAAGAATGTTGGTTTAGTTCGACTAAATCGACCTAAAGCTTTAAACGCACTATGTGATGGTCTCGTAAATGAACTTACTGAAGCTGTTGAAGAGCATGATGTTGATAAATCAATTGGAGCTATAGTTGTAACTGGTAGTGAACGAGCTTTTGCAGCTGGTGCTGATATTAAAGAAATGTTAAACCAAACCTATTCTAGTAATGTGAAATTTGGATTGCTTGAACAATGGAATAAATTGACTAAATGTAAGAAACCAATTATTGCTGCTGTTAATGGTTTTGCATTAGGTGGAGGTTGTGAGTTAGCAATGATGTGTGATATAATATATGCTGGAGAAAAAGCCAAATTTGGACAACCTGAAATTATGCTTGGAACTATTCCTGGAGCAGGAGGTACCCAACGCCTTATACGATCTTGTGGAAAAAGTTTTGCAATGGAAATGTGCCTTTCTGGTAACCAAGTTTCTGCTCAAGAAGCATTAGCTCGAGGCTTAGTCAGCAAAGTGTTTCCTCCAGAAAAATTAGTGGAAGAAGCTATTAAACTAGCTGAAAAAATTAGTGAGAATTCTCCTTTAATTGTTTCTTTATGCAAAGAAACTGTAAATTATGCATATGAGTCTAGTTTAAGTCAAGGACTACAGTTTGAAAAGAAAATATTCTATAGTACCTTTGCTACAGATGATCGTAAAGAAGGAATGTCAGCTTTTGTTGAAAAAAGAAAACCAAATTTTAATAATAATTAAAATAATATCAAACTTTATCTTAAAAAATATGGTGTTATGATGTTAAAATTATTTTATAATGTAGATATATAAATTATAATAAATTTTTATATTTTTGTCAAATAAATTTATATTTAAATTAAGTCGTGTTATCATTTTTTAAGAACATATATTTTCTTTAAATAATTTATTTTTTCACCTATTATACTAAATATACAGTGATAGATTCACATGGTGCCACATGTGTTTTATTACCGTCCATTGTAAACTTTCCTTATAACTTGATGGATTTCATTATATTAGTGTTCTGATTTGATGTTACAGGTTTTTGGTTTTTTTTTTTAAATATGTTACTTAGTTTAGAAGTGGTATAAGTTCTGATTAATTTTCTATGGTCAAATATTTGCACCAGTCAAACGCCGAAAATAATAAAACCTTATTAAAAATAAAATTCTAGGTAAAATTACTATAAATCAAATTTGTATATTTTTATAAAATTCACTAATTATTTGGTGTACAATATTAAAATGGCTTAGAAACTATTTTAAACAGTTTTAAGCTAAAGAATCAGCAAAGTTCTTGTCTTCAGAAATTGAAGGCGGATTAGAAATAGTTAAATTATTTTTGATGTAAAAATAATTTAAATGTATGTAAGAAAAAAAAACTCGTTTTATGCTCTACAATTATTAAGATTTTTATTTTTTGGGAATAAAAATAATAGTATTTTAGAAATTGTTCAATCAAAGTAAATATTTTACTTGAGTAAAGAAAAAAGTAATAAATATTTGTGATCATGGATTAGTTGGATTGCAGTTATAGAAGTTGGAATGAGAACAATTTAAGCTCCAAAATTATTTCAGTTGGCTAAATAGACTTTTCAATATTACAGTCAGCTAAATCAAAGTTTTAAAATTGCATGACAAATAATCAGATTATTCATAAATGTAATAAGTTTTATATTATGAACATTTTTGTTCTGAATTCAGTATTAAAAGAAGAGATTGGAAACTATGAAAATTTTAGGAATCGGGTTTAGAGATGCTCTTAAAATAAAAAAAAGTGTTAAGTTTAGGTTCTATTAGGAGTTTCTAAAATATTCTTTTTAAAGGGTTCTAGTTAAAAAAATATATTTTATGTAAAATAGGTATCAAATTAAGTATTAATTTTTACATTATTATTTAAAACACAAAAGAGGTGTTCTTAGAAATGACACCCATGTCAAAAAATTATCTTAAAAATTAATTACAAAACATAAAAACATATTAAAACATATAAAAACATTTAAATATATTATTTACTAATTTACCAATAATAACCGCACAGATAACTTTTTAGATATATAGAATCTTAATCACTACCTCTTGAAGTAAAAACCTTTTTCAAAGATATTATTGAGAATATTTATTTTTCCTTGTTTTGATATATTTTACAATTGTCCTGTATTGGCCAACAAGTAAATAATTGGTCACTTCCAAATTTATGTGTTAAGCTTCAGATAATTCAATCAAACAATGTTAGAAATAGACTTCTATTAATGATTGGTTAACTTACAAGTTAACTTGTAAGTTAACCAATCATCCAATTTTACTTTTTTGAGTATACAAAAGAATAATTAATTCTCCCAGTCCCTCATTCCACGAGATATCCTCTAATGTCTCTTTTGGGTACTCCTCATTCAATAATTTTTCAAAATACTCTTTCTACCTTTTTTTCACATCATCAATACTCGAGAGTACCTTATTATCAACACCTTTTATACACCATATATAATGATAATCTTTAGACCTTTTCTATCTTATCTTTGCAAGTCTATAGATTTCTTTCTCGCCTTCCTTTGTTCCTAGCCTATCATACAACTCATCATACCTCTTTAACTTCGCCTTAATTACTGCACACTTGGCTTCTTTGCACAAGTGTTTATACTCCTCCAATCTTCTCTCCTTTTGCTCTTCTACCATACTTTGATTTGCTTTTTCTTACTTTCTATAATTTTTTGAATGTCCTCATCCCACCACCAGGTTTCCTTGTTTCCTAACATCCTACTCCTACTTCTACTCTCACCAACAAGCTCCTTTGCAGTTTTCTCCACACAACTAGCAAATCTATTCCACACATCATTTATATCTCACTCGACATTCCACACCGTCTTCTCTTTTACCGTCTTTACAAACTTTTTCATTTCCACCACCGGATTTTCGATTTTTCCTCTGTGTTCCTTCTATTTTTGTATATTCTCATCCCGGTACACCGAAACTCCATTACCATCAATCTATGCTGTGTAGTTACACACTCGCCTGCTATAACTTTACAATCCTTTACTCGCTCTACACACTCTCTTTCACATAAAACAATCAATCTGTGATCTATTACTCTCACTCTTATAACTTATATAATGTTCTTCCCTTTTTCTAAAATAAGTATTAACCACAGCAAGATCATACGATACTGCAAAATCTAGGATTCTTTCTCCAGCCTCATTCTTCCCACTAAAACCCTACCATCCATGTACTCTTTCATATCCTCTCCTCTGATTACCTACATGTCCATTCATATCTCCACATATCACCGCATCTTCATTGCAAGATACCCCTTGCATCACCTCATCCATCTCTCACCAAAACACGTCCTTGTCTATTTCATCACGTCCTACTTGTGGTGCATAGACACTTATTACTTTCAGTACTTTTTCCTCGGATACTTTTATTCTAAATACCAATTTTAATGTTAAAATTAATTTTTTATGTATAAGTATTCCGTGCTTTTGTAATTATAACATATTACATATTAACATAATACTTTACAAAAAAAAAAAAGAATTTATGACGCAAAATCTGAATATTAAAAATTTGTTCTTTTGGTCATTTAAAACATTTTATAGCAAAGAAAAATCTGTCTTATATGAACTTATTTCTCTACTGAATAATCATTTAAACAATGGAAATAATATAGTGCGTGAAGTAGATAATTTGTTTAAGGAAATATTCCTGTATCAAGGAATAACTTAACTAAATTCAAGATATCATGAAAAATTTACTCAAAAATATTGTTATAAACTCTTTAAATTTACAAGTTGAGTTAGAAGTACTTTATGATCAATATAACGGAAAGAAAATTGTATCAGATGTAGATAAAATTTCAGAAAAAAATTGCTTCTACAAACTGAAAATGAATGTTTAGTAAGTTGAAAGTTATTTGAAATCAAATACAGGGAACTACTATTTAAACGATTTCCTAATACTAACATCAGAAAGAGATATTGTGGGTGAGATGAAATTAGATGTTATTGTTAAACAGTGGTTAACTTAAAAAAAAGAAGAATTTGTGTTTAATAATTGTATTTATTAGTTTTTTTTTTATTATTATAAAGTTAATTATATGTATCTTTAAATATATTTGATAATAGAACAAAAATGTATTATTTTATGAAAAAAAGTATTTTTTTTATAAGATCAGTTGGTCAAATAGACTTGATTATTCATTAAAAAAAATTGCTTCACTACCCCTTTGTCGATTATGATTGCATATATTTTTATTTAAATATAATATTTGTCATGTATCTACATAAATTAAAAAGCAATAATTTTAATTATATTATCTTATTTATTATAGATATTTGGAATTGGTTCAATTTGTAGATAATATCATTATTGATGGAAATGTATTTGGCGACTCATTAAAGAAATTTCTCGTTTTACCTCCAGTACACATTGAAGATTTGAAGACATTAATTTTTGTTATAAAACTATTCAATTTTTCTTTAAAACAAAGTATAACATTTATTAGAAATATTTTAATTACTTTTTGATAATTATTTCTCATCATTTACATATATTGAAAGCTATAACATAATTATGTATGTAATTGTTGTTTTATGTTTAATTAGATATTCTTATTGATAAATTCAACTGGATAGCTGATACTTTGATGGATACAGAAATAATGCATCACAAAATAAAAGAAAATTTTTACTACGACAAAACTTCAAAAGAACTAGTAAGATAATTGAAATTATAAGACGTAGAGCTAACATTTAAACAAATTCAATAGAACACATACCTATTTATAATTATTAATAAATTGATAATTATAAATTTTATTTTATTTTTAGTGCAATGTATTTTTTATTGAACTATATCAATTATATTGGCTATGTCTAAAAAAATATAATAACTTTAGTAGATCCAGTCTACTTATATTGTTGTTAAAGCAATTACCTGATGCATCAAATGAATTGGGTAATAATTTTTATTAATTATAGGCCAAAATGTATTTACGTATTTATTATTATTTATTTATTTTTAAGTTTTAGTGGATATTATGTTGAGTTGTATTGCTACATTAACAGAGAATTCTAAGTGTATTGATGAAGGATCTATTACATTCTTACTTTCTAGTTTAATTTCTCCATTTAAGGAAATAAACAAACCATATCTCTCATGTGTTGGAAATATTCAAAGAAATTACCTTTTTATTCTAAATCATTGTATTCATTACACATCATTATTTTCTAATGTAAGTATTTCTTTTTTCTATTTTTTTCTTATAAAATTAAAACACTATTTATGAATTCAATAAGGCACATGATATATGGTCTAGTTATGATTGGAGAACATGGATTTGTTCTTTGATGTACAACTCTGATCCATTAGTTTGTGCATTACTCTTTCAATTTGCTGCTGGTTTAATTGTTATTGATGTTGAAGTTTCAAACGAACTGATAGTTCATGCATTAAAGTAAGCATTAAATTACTCTATTAAAAAATTATATTGCGTATTAATTTGTATATGAAAAATAGTCAATTGAGATTATTTTCATAAATGTATAGAACTTTTAACAATTTTCCTTTGTTCATTTTATTTTTAATGAAAAAAAGACATACAATGTATATCATATTGTTGAAATATTAAATAACTAATGTACATTTTTTTTTTTTTTTTTAGTTTATTTTGTGAAGAGAATTCTATGGAAGCTTTAGTTGTTTCTGAACAAGCATCAGTATTTTGTTCCAATTTATTTTGTAATCCAAAGTTCAAAGTAAACATTTATTATCCCTTGAAGAATTTTTTTTTATTATAATATATATATAATAAAAAAAAATTATAATATACATAATTTATATTTTTTTAGTCTATTTGTCTAGAATATGTTCCTAAACTGAACTTTGAAACATTTATTCAAGTTATATATATGTGTATTGACAATTATTTTAAACCTATAGGTAATTTGTTAAATATCATTTAAATAATTAAAAGTTAATTATTTAAAGGTTAAACTTACACTTTTTGTTTATTAAAGGAATAAGAAAACTACCATCATCACCAAAACTTGTTGCTAATATATGTTGTATGCTTTCTAATATAATTACTTTAGCAGAAATAAATTTAAATATATTTGAAAATAAAGAACCTCTTGTCAATGCCTTGGCTAAGTATGAAAATTAAATTAAATTTATCTCCAAATATTTGTAAACTAAAATAAATTTGAATAGATCATTAATTATAATTTAACAGCATGTGTTTATTAACACATTATATACAATAAATATATAAGCTTATGTTTATGAAATAAATTTTTTGAACTAGATAAGTTGGGTTTTTTAACTTGATTAGTTATATTTATAGTTTGATAACTATGAACCATTTTTTTGTAGCGGTTTCAAGCCCTGATTTGTACATTAAGTTAATTTTAATTATTTTAATTTTTAGGTGTTTAAAAATATTTATTGATCCAGTATATGTTGAAGAGTATCATATAAGAGAAATGTGTGGGCGTATCGCATCATTGTTAACTTTGTTTATACCTGTTAGCATTTATGATTTTGATCAATTATTGGATAGTATAAAATTCTTTTTTGAAAATCCTTATTTAGAATTGGGTAAGTGATAGAAATGTATATAAAAATTTGACAAGTAACTTGTATCAAAAATTATTAGAATAATAACCTAATGCACTAAAAAATTGTTCTTTGAAGTAAAAAAGTTAAATTTTTAATATTTGTCAGTTATTATTTATTTTTAAAATACAGTATATAATTAAAAAAAAAACTTTGACCACAGAAATTGTTGGTCAACAGTGTGAATAAATAAGGAATATTTCAATATTTTTTAAAATTAAATAATATTAATATTTATAATAATAATAAAAATATGAACTTTATTGTAAGCAGAGTAACAGAAGGTTTTAGTGTAAGAGTTAGAATGTATAACTATTCTGCTTAAAGCCCTTACTTAGTTTTTTTAGTTTTAGTTATTATTGAGGTGGACATAATGCCCATGCACTCAGACCTGTTGGTCCATTGTGCGCACCTCATACCGAATTGTTTTGATTCGGTTTACCCACCTAAGTGTTATCACCAAAGTGTTAATACATTACCAACCATAAAGTCACCTCTAAAGATGACCAAAGAGTCCTGTCTTTCTGGCGAAATTAAGTATCTCTCTGGGTTTTAGGTTTTTAATATCCTCTTTTTCAGGAAATGGTTTATTCAAGTAGTTTGATCTTAGTGTGGACAAGGCTNAAAGGTTTATTCAAGTAGTTTGCACTTAATGTGGACAAGGCTTCACATTCGCACATAATGTGAAATGAGTCTTCCTTTTCTACTCCACACTTTTTGCACAATAGTGATTCTGATACTCCCATTGCGTAAAGATGTTTAAGCAAGTGACCATGTCCTGTCAGTAGACCAGTCAGGGTGCTTATTTGATGTCTAGTCATGCTATTAAGATCACCCAGCAATAAACCAGGGGTCTTGATAAACATTTTAGATTGTCTAGGTACTACCAAGTACTTCCAGATTTTCCTGTGTTGTTCTCTGCACCAATTCTTGGGTAACGCTTTGAGCGATTGCTCAGTGAGCCCTACCACTGGTTCTGGTCCAACATAGGTGTTCTCTGCTCCTTTCCTGGCTAGAAAGTCAGCATTCTCATTTCCAGTGACACCGTTGTGTCCTGGTACCCACCTTAGTGTAACTTTGTTGAACCTCTATAGTGATTCTAAAGTTTCCCTGCATTCGAGGATAAGCTTTGAATTCACCTGATCATTATAGAGTGCTTTCAAAGTCGCTTGACTATCACTTAAGATAGTTATCTTCCTATTTTTGTATACCAGCAGGTTCTGAGCCCCTACCAGTATCGCCATCACCTCTGCTTGGAAAACAGAGGGTGTTGTGCCCAATGACATACTGACATTTATTCGTGGCTTTAAGCCCCAAATTCCAGCACCTACCTTTCCTGATTTTTTGGATCCATCTGTATATATCACAAATNATTCCAGCACCTACCTTCCCTGATTTTTTGGATCCATCTGTATATATTATAAATCCTCCATTTTCAGTCAGGTGTTTAATATTCCATTCACTATGTGTAGTGATTTCCACTTTGTTGGGAATGTTGTTCTTAAGAACTGGTTTGATATAGTCCAAGGGGTATTCCAAAAAGCCCTGGTCTATCTCTTTTATTATTTTACCGTATTATACTGTATTACTCTCCAAAGTCCAAGTACCTAAGTTGTGGAATCTTAGTGCTGTGGCTTTGGTGTGAGCTTTAACCTCTAGATGCAGAGAAGGCAATCCAATTAGTGCCTCTAATGCGACCGTTGGTGTAGTTCTTAATGCTCCAGTGATGGCTATGGCAGCCATTCTCTGTATGCGACTAAGTTCTTTCCTAGCTGTAACGAGTGCTGTTCTGGTTCACCAGACTAGGGCACCATACAATATCATAGGTTTAATCACTGAAGTGTATAACCAATACATAACTCTTGGTGTAAGACCCCATGTCTTTTCCAAGGCTCTGTTTCAAGTCCACATTGTGGCCATTGCTTTTTTGATTCTTGACTAAACATGTGATTACCATTTTAGCTTACTATCTAAGATAATACCTAAGTATTTTACTTTCGATTTTAAGCTAATTTCTTGTCCATCTAGAGTAAGAGTGCCAAGACTGTCTAGTCCTGTTCTTCTTCTAGAGAACATAACGACTTCTGCTTTATTTGGATTAACAGACAGACCATACTGCACCATATATGTATAGTGTTTAGTCTCTGTTGTGCTAAGCATATAATAGTGTCTGGGAATTTACTCACCACTACTATAACTAAGTCATCTACATAAGCTTGTGTATTACAGTATTTATTTAACTCTTTAATAAGCGAGTCCAATACTAGATACCATAGCATGGGAGATAGAACCCCGCCTTGTGGTCATCCCTGTTTAACACTCTTGATTATTTTGATTTCATTGAGCTGTCCCAAAATGGAGAGTTCCTTAAGCATGTTTTCTATCCACTTAGTAATAAGTGGTTCTACTCCATGCTGTTGTACATCAAAGGGAGTATTGTCAAAAGCCCCTTCGATGTCCAGGAATATACCTACTGCATACATTTTATTCTCCACAGCTTTCCCTATCTTAGTGGTTAGGTAGTGTAGAGTTGTATCAATAGATTTCCCCTTTTGATACACATGTTGGTGTTCAAGTAAAGGGTTCTCCTTTAGAGGCCCCTCCTTGATGTACCTATCAATAAGTTTCTCCATAGTCTTAAGAAGAAATGAAGTAAGACTTATTGGCCTGTAAGATTTTGCTTCATAATAGTTAGAATATAAGGAGTAAGACAGAGTATATAGAGAATGAGTTTGACAAAGGAGAACACAAAGTAAGTGAAATGAGAAGATTATTGACAATAAGTGAGAACTTGATAGGAGAGGTAGAAAGTTTTAAGTATTTAGGATAAGTTGTGCAAAAGAACAATAGGTGGTATTGACGAATAAGTAAGACACAGAATTAAGTGTGAGTGGTTGAAGTGAAAAGAAGCGTCTTGTGTGTTATGTTATTAAATAATTCCAATGAAACTGAAAGCTAAGTTCTATAAGATTGTAATGAGACCTGCTATGATGTATGGTTCAGAGTGTTGGATGGTTGACAAGAAAGTAGCAGAGAATGAGTGTAGCAGAGACGAGAATGCTTAGATGGATGAGTGGAGTGACTAGAGAATATAGGATAAGAAACGAACATATAAGAGGGAGTATAGGTGTAGCGTTAATCGCAGATAAAATGAAAGAAAATAGACATAGATGGTTTGGTCATGTCATGAGGAGAGAAGAATAGGAAGCTGTATGAACAGTTATGGAAATTAATGTTGTGGGACAAAGAGGTAAAGGAAGATGAAGAGATGTTATTAACTACGATATAAGGACGGTTGATGTAGGCTATCATATCAAGTGGAATTTTAGGATAAGGGGGACCGACCTCAAGTAGTTGGGATAAAAGCAAGGAAAAAGAAAAAGATTAAAAATATGTACTTTATTTTAAATTCACAAAAATTATTTTTTATAATTTTTTTACTACTCAAAAAACTTCATAACTAATAGTTGAATTCTGTAAAAAATCACCTTTATAGGATATATTGAGCCAAAATGTTACAATTATTTTTAATTATCTAAAAAATCATTATTAATTGAAGGTTATTATAAAAAATTAAAGATATAATCAAAGTAACCCTGATTGACATTACTAACATTTTTTTAGATCATTGCACCATCATGGTTTGGAGATCTTTTTTTCAACTAATTTATGTGTTTGGTCAAAATAAGAACCACAAAGAGTTTGTTATAACAGATGGTTTTATGACTGCATTGATCAAGAGTATTGATTCAAATCATAAGGATCTTTGCATTGATGCTTTAAAAGTTATTACAACATTATGTTCATGGTTACCTAAAAGTAAGTTTAATTAGACATATTCTTGATTCTCTAAGTAATAATATATTATTAATATTTTTTAGAATCATTACCTATAATTTATGAATCAATAAACCGTAAATTGCATATTGAATGGGATAAAAAAATTTTGAAAAAATCATTATTAAAAACTTTATCTGCTCTATTATTAAAACACCCTAATATATATGAATATACTCGACGAGATAATTTAATTCAATTTCTTATTTCAAAACTAAAAAATATCTTACTGATATGCATGAAACAACAATCTCAAATACAAGTAATTTATTAAAACCATATATTTATTTCTATATTAATTATACATTTTAAGAATAAAAAACAATATTAAATTAAAATTTTTATTTAAAAATTATAAATTTAGAATATATTGAAAAAAGATTATTTGGATATTGTGAATCTATTTTGTAATACATTCAGTGTGTGTCACCAAGCTAAAATTGATGCTACATTTGAGTTACCAGATGTAGTTCATAAATTTTGGCCTAACATTACTGTTGCACCCAAATCAGAAGTTTTTTTACATTCTCTTCAAATGTTTGTGTCTTTCATGGCAGATTGTCCTTCAGGTAATTATAATTATATTATTTGTGCATTTTATTTCACTTAGAAATTATAATAACCTGTGAATTATTAGGGTATTTTTTGTTATTCATGTTTTTTGGCTGGAGTCTTTTCAAAATTAAATGTTTTTTAAAAAAAAATATCTCATATTGTTGGTTATCTAGATGTGGAATAGTATTTACTATACAGAGTGTTCAACTATTTTTTGATATATTGATAACTTTTGATCTAGCAAATATTTATGTTACTTTTTATTTTATTTAATTTTTACAATTTCGCACTATATTAAAAGCATTTGTATTAAAATGTTTGCAACTCAATAAGTATTAAAAACAAATAATAAAAATCAATATATAATGGTAGCACACTTTTCTCAAGTATGGCACGTCCATAGATGGAAAAGTATAGATATCTGACAGTGATTAAAATCACCATCATAAGAAGCACTTCGATGTAAAGCTGTAGATAATGTTTAATTTTAAGTAATTGGTGGATTTTTTCAAAAGCCAAATGACTTCTTTTTTATATCCTGATTACAAGTTTTAAGATATATAAGTGAAATATACAAATAAATATTTAATAAATTTGTTCAACTTTGACGGCAATTTGCACATAGGTTTTCAAAAACATTATATCAAATGAAAGAGAAATACACAGTTTTCTATAAAAAAAAAAAAAATTATTTTAATTTGTTCATTTTTTAAAAAGTTATGGCAATTTAAAAAAAAAATGTTAAAATTTACTAATTTCAATAATTGTAATTTTTGGAGATTTTCCCCATTTACAGAGAATAAAGAAAATTTTTTCAATTTTTAAGGCCAATGTCTTTAACTAGATATGATTTGTGATCTTTTGACGTATTGTTGAAAGAAATTGTTTTGGTGAGAGGTGAGAAAGTGGTGACAAGCATAAAAAAAAACATACTAAAATTAATACCTTCTTAGGTTCACATTGGAGCTAAAAATTTAATTTCAACATAATCTAAGAATACATAAATTATTATAAAAAAAAAAAAATTATCGTAATATATTTAGTAGATCAAAAGTTATTTAATTTACCTAAATATTGTATACTACCTTATATATATATTTAATTTAATATATGTATATATATTATTTAAAAATATATACTTATTAAGTTTAAATTTAGTTTTTTTTTTCAGCTTGTAGTTCAATGACAAGAACAAGTTGTACTACTGGGGTAGACATAAAAACAAGATGTTCTAATTCATTATTTCATGAGATAATCTCACTGATCGAAAATACTATTTTACCTTCAAATATTTTAAATGTTATTATGTTGTTTATACTGAATTCTTTTCAGTCACAAGATTGTCGTTCTATTTTAATAAAAGTATATTAAATTTAAATTTAAATTGTTTTCTATATTAACAATACTTGTAATTTTTTATAGAATAAACTGTTTTCAAACATAATACCAATGCTTGATCCTAAAGAAAAATATAAACAAAATTTTGAATTAGAAGAAAAATGGCTTAAAATATTACAAGCATTTACTTACTATTCAGATGGACAAATATCCATTCTAAAAGTAAAAGACATAATAAAATCATACTAAAATTTAATAAAATATATGAAATCATCTTTTCTTTTAGGTAAATGATATATTAGATATTCTGGTTAGTCTATTTAAAACGCCTTATGAACATGACAGTTTGGCAATATTAAGAAATTTAAGTTTTAACTCACAAAACAAAGTGGCCCTTTTAACATCAAGTATATGAAAGAAATAAGTCAATTTCCAAGTAGATAAATATTAATTTAAATACATTATTTTATAGGAGTTGTTTGGATGGGAATAAAAGATATTTTAGAAACTAGAAATCTTAGTGCTCAACACTACAGAGATATTGGTTTGATTGTGTGGTCTCTGACATGCAATAATCAAAAAGGTCGATTGCAACTCCGTGATTGGGGTATAAATAAATATTTTGAGAAATTAAATTTACCTTTGTTCCATGACCAAGACATTGATCACATCTTGAATTCTGTTTATTTGTGCCTAAAATATTGAAGAATTTATCTGTTATTAAATATTATTTAACATTTCTAATTCAGTAATTCTAATTATGCAGCTTATTTTTTTATTGTGGTTGTATTGTACATTTTTTTGTAATATTGTATTTTTTTTATAAATTTTTATTTTTTTATAAAATATTGTAGTATATTTTTTTAGCTATGATGCGAAGCTAAGAAGGTATTGGTTTTACAATGATGTTTTTTTTTTTGTGTCTGTTACCACTTTTTCTCAGCTCTCACTGGACCGATTTTTTTTAACAATACATCAAAAGATCACAAATCGTATCTAGTCAAAGACATTACCCTCAAAAATGGAAATATATTACTGTCAGATATAATTATACTTGACCCAACTATGCCACATTCCCACTGTACTGAGTTTTTTAACTTTATATCTGTATAACTTTTCGAAAAATGTATAGATCAATACAATTCTTTATGAGAAATAAAATTTATATACCTATATTATTCGACATACTTTTTTATGAATCGGACCATTATACATGGGCGGGGGTTAAAAACTAAAAAAATTCATGTAGAAAGTAGAACTTTTTCAACTTAACTTTTGAAAGTGTTCTGGAAACTCTGACACATTTATATATACTTTAAATTAAAGATTATGTAATATACTTTATAACGTAAACAGGTGTTATGGCGAGGTAAACACCAACTAACAGGTCAAAAGAATATAGTTTTCACAAGAGAATAACAAAACCAAAATAAATGTAATCAGCATAGTTAGCTGAGGTGTCAAAGAAGTGGTAGTCCGTTTATTAATAACCCATAAAAAGCAAAAATAAGTTTAAATGTCCGTTATAAACAATTTTGTAACTGAAAATAAAAAAAAACAAATCCGGTCACGGCTTAAATAGTCACAAAAACAAAAAAGTACAATTACATTTTTTGCATTTTTTTTTTAAATTATTTTTGAATTAGAAAAAAATTGTCAACTCGTTTATCTCATTTTGGTTCAATAACTTGAACTAATAACAATAAATATCAAGAACTTCATCACCATAGTCTCCCCTCATAAGTAGCAATTTCTTATTCATATTAAAATTAATTAACTATGTGGTTTATTTTCTCAGCTCTCATTTGACCTATTTTTTCCAATGATACTTTAAATGATTACAATTAGTATCTAGGTGAAGATATAAACCTCAAAAATTGAAAATTTTCACACAATAATTTAACTTTTTAAACCTAAGTTTTTAAGATGTGATCCGGAAATACTGCGTACTTTAAACACATGTTAAATTACAGCTTATGTTACGTACTATAATTTAAAAATAAAATTTTTTTCTGACGGCTTATCTTCTATGAATAAATGGCAACCATTTGTTAAAAAACATGGTATTTTTGTGATAAAATGTGCGATTTTCGATTTTATATTTTCAACTATAAATTGCTATAACTTTTTGAAAAATGTATGGATCAATTAAAAATTTTCTTTTCTAATTAGTTTTATACATACCTCTTTCATTTGACATTTAAATCGGACCATTTGCCTTTACACAGGGTTCAAATCTTGCAATATTCAAGTAAAAAGTAATACTTTTCCAACTTTTGATAATGTATCCGGAAATACTGCGTCTTTTATTATGTAATTTTTTATATGTAAGTACTCGTTTTTCACTAATAAGTAATAATCTTAAAAAAAAGGTGATAGAAAAAATCTAAATGCAGATTTGAAATCGAGTTTAGAAAAGTATATATTTGACTCTGATGAAAATATATTGTATACCATTTATTCATAATTAAACACAACTTAAGGAAAGGTACTTATTAAATCTCTACATGGTCTGAATTTTCAAGGACCGGACCAAACTGTTCTGGTAAACTAAAAAAAATACCAGACCGCACTATTATATAAAATTAAAATTAGACTATTAAATATAGACTGGGACTATTAAATTCAAAATTTCTCCAGACCGAACCGAACCTATCTATGAAATAAAAAAAAATTCCAGAACGAACCTAACCGAATTATAAAATAAAATACAATTCCAATCCAAAACGAACTGGATTATTGAATTCTAAAATTCTGTCCAGACTAAATTAAAGCAGATACAACAAAAATGTAAACCATACTGAATCAAACATTAATTCAAATAAACTTCAAGACTTGACCGGATTATAGCAAAAAACGAAAATTGTATACCTGGCTAAACAATGCCTAATTGAAATTTACTGTAACTTTACTTATTAAAATCTTTAGACATTATACATTTATAGAATACTTTTTTTTTATATGTGGTCCTAGATTTTTTTTTTTTATTTTTATTTATAAAATAATAAAATTTACAATCTGTACATAAGAAAAGATACAATAAGCAAATAGGTGAACAATAGAATATAACACATTTGACTTAAAAACGGAAAAAAGGGAAACTATCCAGTGATGGGACTCTTTTGACTTGAATTGGTTATTTAGCCATCACAATATTAATTTAAAAGGACATGGCACCAGCGTCTTTTTAGACGGCGAGGAGGGTTGTCCGGAATTGTAACTGTATGTTGGTTAGCAATTAATGGATTTGGATGTAGAAGTAATTTAGAGTGAAACTTTTTGTAGCATAATTTAACTAAAATATCGACTGGTTCAATGTTTAAATCTTTATGTAGGGTAAGATTGGAGACATACCAAGGAGCGGACGTGATTGTACGAAGGGAAATTGCTTGGAAGGCTTCAATTGTTTTAAACTGCAATGTTTTGGCACAACCCCATATTTGGGCTCCGTAAGACCAAATTGGTCTTATTATTGACTTATAAATGTGTATTTTGTCATGTACAGGAAGTTTTGATTTTAATACAAGACGTAATAAGTGGGTCTAATGTTTAATAGCTTTCTTTTGGATTTGAGATGAGTACCCCAGGTTAATCTTTTATCAAGTGTAATACCAAGATATTTGACTTGAGTCGAAGAAGGGATAGGAACTCCTTGGAAGGAAAGAACAGGCATATTTTTTTTATTGAGAGTGAAAGGAACATTTACTGATTTGTCTGCATTGATTTTAATTTGTCAATTTGTGGACCATTTATTTATAAAGTCGAGGTGGAGTTGAAGAGCATTATAAGCTGCGATTGGGTCTTTATTGGAAGATAAAATGGCTGTATCATCAGCGTAGGTAGCCAAAGAGGTGTTTTGAGTTTGGAGATGTCTGAAGTGAAAATATTGTATAAATCGGGGGAAACCAACCTTGTGGATCTCCTGCTAGGATGGAAAAAAGAGAGGAATAAGAATTACCATAACGAACTTTAAAGGTTCTGTTTTCTAGGTACGAGCGAATAAGAAGGTATAGGGGAGCAGGGAGGAATGATTTAATTTTATAGAGTAGGCTAGGATGCCAAACCCTATCAAAGGCCTGAGCCACATCGAGAAAGACTCCCGGACAATATTCTTTATTTTCAAAGGATGATGATATTATATCGACTAGCCTGTGTATTTGTTGTATAGTGGAATGATTTGAACGGAACCCGAATTGAGCGTTGGGTATTACTTTATGAGATTCTAAGATTGGTCTTAATCTTTTCAAAATGATTTTCTCAAATAGCTTACCAAGCACTGGAAGCAGACTAATTGGTCTATATGAGATTGCTATATTGGGGGGTTTGCCCGGTTTGAGAATAAGAATAATAATGGACTGTTACCAAATGGTAGGGAAATACGAAAGTCTTAACATGGAGTTAGATATGAAAGTTTATTAAAATAATTGTTTTTTTAGGGAGATGTTTTAAAATCTTATTTGTTATCAAGTCATGCCCAGGTGATTTATTGGACTTTAATTTTTGAATCACATTTACAATTTCATTTGGAGAGACATGTTTAGTAGGGAGAGACATAGGTAGTGGAGAATCTAAAAAATTATTTATTTTGATTAATTGAGAATTGCTAGAAATAATATCAAGGTGAGGTGTGAAAATATTCGAAAGGTGTTCTCCAAAAAGATTGGATTTGTCAAGATCAGATAAGGCAAGCGAATCATCTATTTTTTTAATAGGACAGGAAAAATCTTTCAGTTTAAGCATATTTTTAGTGGTTTTCCATAATGAACCGTCCTGAGAGTTGAGGCATTTGAATTTCGTGTCAAAGAGGTTGTTTTTATATTTTTTAATTATTTTTTTTAAGGAGTTAGATAGTTTATTGAAAGTAGACTTGTCTGAGGGAAGTCTAGTTCTTTGCCAACGGGCGCAGGCCCTACGTTTTTTAGCAATTAGTATTTTTATATTGGAAGGTAAAAGAAAAGATTTTAATTTTGAATTGGAATTTTGAGTGGAATCATAAGAACATTCATGTACAGCTGATTGAATTGAGCTGACTAATTGTTGGGCTGCGGAGTCAATTTCGTTGCAAGACTTTAGAGGGATTTTTAAGTTTGTACTATTTTCTAAGGTTGAGGAAAATTTATTCCAATTTACAGGTCCTTTGGAAAGGGAGGGGCGAGGAAGAGATTGTGTTGGAAATTCTTCAATCTTTAACAAAGCGGTTTTATGATCAGATGATAGGTCACATATATTATGAATAGAGTGATCTATATGATTCGGGATTGATGATATAAAAAAATCAAGTAAGTCAGGTAGTCTATTCTATTATAGTTGGCCAGTAAGTAGGACCAGGAGGTGAAATAGTTGAAAAATCGTAAGATAGAATAGAATTGTAAAATAGCCTCCCTCTAGGGTTTTCAACGCGACTACTCCATAATGGGTGCTTGGCATTAAAATCTCCCCCAACGATGAACTTGCGTCCTAATGAGGAAATAAGCTGCTCTAAGTGGGGCTGAGAAATGTTTGGTCGAAGAGGACAGTATATTGCTGAAATAATTATAGGATTATGATTTATTGAAATTGAGATATTTGTTGCTTGGACAGTCTGTAATAGTACACTTGGTAGAAGGTGGTGTTGTATTAAGGATGAGATGAGAATTGCAGAACCCGCATGTGCCGTACCATCTGGATGGTTTGTTTTGTAAATATTGTAACCAGGAAAAAAATGTTTGGAGTTATCTGTGTAGTGTGTTTCAGTGACTAGAGCTATATCAATTTTATTATCTATAAGAAAGTTTAAAAATTCAAATTCTTTTTGTTTAAGACCATTAGCATTCCAAAGAATGATATTAAGAGACTTATTATTAGTTTGATTATTTGTCATTATTTGGAATTAATTTGTTAATTACAGTGGTAAGTAATTGAATTAAGGGGTAAATGAGTTGCTTGAACTCTATTAAAAAAGAGGATAATTGGTTGTTAGATGAATTTTCTGGTGAGTTTATTTGAGAATCGACTTTACTTAAAAAACTATGGATTTGGGTATTTTGAGTAAGATTAGGAAAGATTTTATTGTCTGAGATGTTAGGAGGGATAGAGTGAGCCCATCATTGGATCGCAACTCCTGATTTTTTACAATAGTGTTAATATTTTTAAGGGGTTTGTTAGATTTGACCGTTGTAAGTTTTTGTGTACTGAGCAACCACGGTAGTTTACTGTGTGGTTACCTTTACAAAGAGCACAAGTAGGAGGGGTATCTTTTGATTTAGTACACTGTGAAGTGGGATGGAAGTCTGGGCAACGAACACATCTAGGAGGATGAGCACAATATCCTTTTGAATGACCGTATTCTTGACAATTTGAACATTGAATAATTTCACGATGTTTGTGAGGCTCTTCTACCTATATTTTGGTATGGAGCAACGAAGTTAATTTGAATAATTTACTGTTGATTTGGGCGGGTCAAGATCCACAAAAAATATTGGAAGGGGGTGTTTGGTATTTTTATGAATAATATTTGTAACTTGGCGGACAGAGTAGCCTAACTCTTCGATGGTAGCGCCAACTTCAGTAGTTGGTGTAGAGGGATGCAAGTTACGTATAACGATACGAAAGGCTTTTTGTTCACGGGCTTGATATGTGTGATATTCTGCATCACTGGTTTTTAAATAGTTGATGACTTTTCTGTACGAGTCAGAGTTAGTAGTTCTAATTTTTAGGTTATTAGCAGATGATTTAAAGCTAAAGTTTTGAGAATCGATCAGTTTTATTAATTGATTTCGCAATTCAATAAAATCAGCAACATTACGAACGAATATTGGAGGAGGTGGCGGGGTATGATTTATTTGAATATCAGTATTATTAGAATTTATATTTGATGTATCATTCGTTTCAATAGATTTTTCTGTATCATGAGAATGTAGCAAGTTGAACCTGTTGGTGCTTACAAAGATGGGTTTGGATTTCTTCATTTTGGATTTCTTCATTTCGGATTTTTCAGTAGAACTGGTTGACGAAAGATTACGTTTATAGTTATTTTTCACTGTTTGAAAACCCAAAAGAGTTTCATCATCCGAAAAAACATCGTTAGAAGTGTTTGATAGATTAGAAACGCTCTGTGTGCGATTCGCAGTGTTAATATTTGAATTATTTTTATTTTTGGATGTTTGTTTAGATTTAATTTGTGAACTGACCGATAGCGGTTTTATGGGGATAGACATTGAATGAGATAAGATAGGAACGACCGCCGGCAAGACCGGGGAGTTCCGAGAGATAATTGATAGTTATTATGATTTGATGTTAGTAATAAGTATATTAAGATTACCAAATTGTAGTCAGTGAAGGATTTGGATCAAACAGCAACTTCCAAAGATGGTAGATAAAGCATCAGTGTAACAAAACGGATCGAATGGTATTAATTTTGAGATAATAGCACAATTATTAAGGTTAGAGAAAAATAAAATAACAGAAAACAATAGAACACGCACATATCGCTACGGAATACAACGATCGAATGGTCCTAGATTTAAAGCAATATTATTATTCACAAATATAAATAAAAGTTTACTCAAAAATTAAATTATCTGTAAAATCATGATGTCATAAGTTACTTTATTGCTCAATATAAAAAATTAAATTAAATTATTATTTACTATTTAAATAGAGAAAACAAAACATAATAAAATATTTTAATTATATAAAATAAATACTTTTACTGTTATATAATAAAACAAATTAGAAAAATGTATATTATACTTGAAATATTATTGTATATTGTGCTATTAAACTTAAGTTTAGTAATAATTGTAAAAAAAATAATATATAATCAACTATAGAACCGTTTAAACAACTCATTCGTTCTTCTATTACCATTCCAGCAGTACTGAATGACCTTTCACTACTTGCACTACTAGTCGGAATAACCAATATTTGTCTTGCTAATTTGGACAGGCATGGGAATTCAATTTTTTTATTTTTCCAAAATTGTAATAAATTATCTTTGTGGATGTCGAAACATTTATTTAATCGAAAAAAATATTGTCTTGCATATAGGGTAATTAAATGATGACTGATTGTTATATTTGAATAAGCTTTCTCTTATAATGTTAAGTAAAAGCCATTAGTTTATTTAGCCTAAGTGACATTATTGATTAAACAAGTTGTTATTAGCATATTATTTTACATCGATAAATATTTTATAAGTAACGTTAAATTTTATAATAAAAAATAAACACCTATCTATATATATATACCTATCTATATATATATATATATATACCTATTTGTTACACAAAACAAAATAATTTTCTATCTCTCCTAAAAAGCATATGTGCTTATTTTTATTATATTATTTATTTTAAAAGAAAAATTATTTACAGGCAGATTGAAAACAAATGTCTTTCGTTGATGATAAAGAAGTAGTGCTAGATGATTATGTTGGTAATATTTTCCAAACTTTATTTTATCCAACATAATGTACAAAGACTCATAAATGTAATATTGTTATTAACACAAAGGTAATTCTTTAAAAATACGGTTTTAAATATTTACTATAAGACTGAACTATAACTATAACTGAATTAAAATAATATTGTATATTAGATGGGCCATATTAGACTTTATATGTCTAGACATAATTATATTCAATAAAAACGACCAGTTTATTCCAAAATGTGTAGAAAAACTATGAAGTAATATAATACACTTAACGATTGACAGTTGTATGAAAGCAATACATTATTCGCAATAATTTTAAATCTCATTTTAGGATTCCTGGAAATTCTATTGGCACGTGGGTCATATTTCAAACAATTCAGCTTTTATGTGACATTTTTTGTATTAATTTTAGATGTGTGTTAACATCGATCAATATAATGAAAATAATTTGAACCTATTACGATAAAAATTATAATTTTTTTTTTTTAATTATATCACATATATTTTATAGATAAATAAAAAAAATTGTATTTTAAACGTAGTCCAAAACTGTAAAAGTTAATTCTAAGTCTCAAAATATTGAAAATGTTTAATAAGCTATTATCATAAAAAAAATTTGTTCTCGGTCAAAACTAAATAAATATTTCTACTAAAACTAAAATTAAATAATTGAACTTTTAGAGGATGTATATTTCTTCTATCATTCAAAATAAGTACTATTTTATTACGATATTTTAATTTATCTTAGTTTTTACAACAAATACAGCATTAGTATAGATTGTAGAAAAATAAAGAAATATAAAGAACGTACTTAATATAATTTTATGTTTTTTTTTACATTTATCAATTTTTGAGAAACATAAAATATACGCTTAGTTTAATAAAAACAAATTGACTCCATTACTAAAAAGTGTTATTAGATTACTTAACTTATTTTCTGTGAAGCTTATAATAATTATTCCAAGGATAGTTAACCAAATTTGTCCATCATATGGTAAAAATACTTCCAAATAATTTATATCGTGTTTATAGAACACGTAGGAAGTGTTCTTAGTTTTTCTTTTAATAACGATATTTAAGTTTTTACATATTAAGTAGATTGTAAATCTAAAATAAATCACACTGTATGAAAAAAACATTAATGTGAAACGTCCAAAGATGAAATATATTTAAAGAACTAATTATTTAAAATCTTACATAAATTAATTTAGTCTAGAACATTATAACAGTTCAAAGTTGAACTTTTATTCATAGGTCATAGATTTACTATTGTATTGTTTATTTAATTCAAGTAATAATTGTTTTTATGAAACTATGTAGGTGTCAAAACAAACAACATTTATTTAGATTTGGTTTTATATATTATAATTGCAATACACAATTCATTTCATAAAATTCCTCACATCTGATCTCGTTGGAGTATTTCCCCAGGTTCTCAAAACAAAGGAAAGGTGCATTTTTCGTTTTATTAGTTCGCCTCTCTTATAGAGAAGCTTAACATTTCAAAATAAACTTGTAAACATTTGACAATGTGTCCGAAAAAGGCTCTGTAGGGGTGTTAAAAGGAGATTTTAGGGTTACAATCCAGTGGCATCAGAGGCGGATTAAAAAACTTTTCAAACATTTTTATTTATTACATGTCAAAAATCATTTTTTCACCACTTTCAATATTCAAAAAATTTATTCCTTGTTATTTTATTGGCGACGGTAGTTCAAGAAGATGCCCCCTTACATAGGCATAGAGGTAAAATCTTAGAGCTATTATAAATGTATAAATTCACAATCTACTCAACGAATCTTTTAGATGTTTATTCAGATAACTTGAAGATTTTCCAAGCATTATGGAATTTATTAAAAGCTATACTTTCAATTATAATGAAGTAATGATCGTGATTATAATATATTTATTTAAGTAGAATAGTGCAAGGGTCGACATTTTAAATTTTGACCCAACTGCATTGCACGCATATGATTACTGATCGATAGACACGCTGAGTAAATAATTAATTGCACGTGGATAATGTATGACATAAAATTTAGTTCCTATTAAAAATTGTTGTGGTCTATTTTTACTAGATTATAAAAAAGACAAGATTTATTATTGAACAAATAATAATAAGAACATATCTATAAATTTCTTAATTTCCTACAAGAAATGATACATTTGTATACTATAACCTTACTCTTGAGTATAAAGATTTAAGTCTTAAGTTATTATTTGGTGTTAGATGTTAGCGTATGAATGTGGAAACAAACTTATTTAGTAAAATGTAATAAATCATTCTTGATATTTTAAACTATTCTAATATATAACATTTATACAGTAAATAATTCTTTATTTAGAACACCAACAGACCGATTAAGAATCGATTAAAAAATATTTTTTTTGTTTAAAATTGTTAATATATTATGTAAACTATGCAAGTATATAATTAAAAATAAATTATTTGAATTTCCTGCGTTAAGCAGGAAGTTCATAAAATAATTATGATACATTTAATTAATAAATTATTAAACAGTTCAATAAAAAAGAAAAGCAAAAGGTAAATAGTTTATAAAATGAATATAATAAACAATTTATAATAATAAAATAAATACTGATGGTACTTAGAGACGGATCAATTTTAATTATAGATATTGAGTTAACAGATATTGAATTCAGTAAATTATAACTTTTTCAAGTCAAATTTTTTATCGTCGTGAGGTCACAAATAAATGTTGAAAAAAATTCTTTATTTTCTTGCACGCATATACATCATGACTAATTCTTAATGAATTCATAATCTTTTTATTTGTTGTTCAATTTCTGTTAGATAATTAAAAAAAAAATTATTTATAATAATTACTTGTACACTTTATTTATATATTGTTTATGATTACTAATAATTTTAAATTTGTTTTATTTAATTTATTTTTACTGTTTCAAGCCGCGGCTAAGTTTATAACCAATGTAATTATTCATAAATAAATCAATAGAAAAAGTCGGTACGATGGGTTTAATACCTCGATGTAAATTTTAGTAATTTTAAATAAATTCACAATAATAAACCTACATAAAATACAAACGTGTACGAATTTAATAAGGTTTTTGTTTTTGAGAATGGCGTAATGACTAAAGATGAAATTTTTGAAATAATATTTATTCTTGCATTTAAATTATTCATGTCGGTAAAATGTTAAATGTATTTGAGAATAAATTCCTAAAAATTGAGAACATTATGGGTTTTATGGTATATTTTGAGTTGCCACCCTACTTCAAGTAATTATTGCTTTCATGAAAAAGTGATGAACAAAAAAAAAAACCCCAGCACAGTGGAGACGTGCCATAGTTGGATCCAGTATAGATTTAATCTAACAGTGATTAAAATCACTAACATAAAAAACACTTCGATGCAAATCTATAGACAGTGTTTAATTTTAAAAAATTCGAAGATTATTCCAAAAACAACATGAACTCCTATTTCCTTATTTATATCTTATTATAAGATTTATGATTTATAAGTATAATAAATGAATAAATATTTATTATGGCAATTAAATATAGTATGAAATTGATATTTAATATTTTACAATTGTAATTTTTACGCAGAATTTATAAAAAATTATAAAGTAGTTATTACTTTTATAGCAAACATATATACAAGTTGAAGGTCTTGATGCAATACTTAAAAAAAAATTGTTTGTTTTTAATAAATAGATTTACTGGTCTACAAGGTATTGTCATCTGCGACCAAATTATACTTTTTTAAACCCATTTTTGTGCCGATTTCAAATCTGTAATTAGAGTTTCACAAATGGCCTAAATAATAATAAAATATTTCTAATTAATATAACAAATATTTATGTTTGATTATGTAGGTTATGTATGAATAATCAATAAATATATTTTAATTAAAAATAAGTTGAATAATTTCTACTTTTTATACGCATTCTTAAGTTTTGAATCACTCCTGTATAAAGGGGAAATGGTCCGATTTAATAAAAAAGTATGTCGAATAAAAGAGGTATACAAATAGTACTTATCATAAAAAATTGTAATGAAAAAAAAATGTAAAATATAAAATCGAGAATTTACACAAAAATAGCCTTTCTCATCGTGAAGATAAAATAGTCCGAAATTTGTTTTTCCATGATAAGGTATATTGCATTAGCTTTAATTTAAAATACATATAAAAGTATCAGTATTTCCGGAACATTTTCAAGTAGTTAAGTTGAAATAGTTAATTTTTTGTGAAAATGTTGTCATTTTAAATCCTCCCCTGTGGGCAGGTAAAGGGTCAGATTTATAAAAAAAAATATACCAAATGAAAGGTAAAGACATCATATAAAAAAAATTGTATTAATCCATAAATTTTTCAAAAAGTTATGGCAGTTTCAGAAAAAAAAATTAAAAAAATGTCGAAAATTAGCGTTTTATAAATTTGTAAATTTTTTAGAGATTTCCCCCATTTACGGGGAACGAGGAAATTTTTTCAATTTTTGAGGGTAATATATTCGACTAGTTATGATTTGTGATATTTTGACATATCGTCGAAAGAAATCGGTCCAGTGAGAGCTGAGAAAAAGTAGTAACAGATAAAAAAAAAAAACACATCATACTAAAATTAATACCTAGTCAGCTTCAATATTTTAAAAAAATAAGCTCAGTGAGATAATTTTTATCTAAACTTCAAAATGGACACTTTAATCTATGAGTATTATGTCTATAAAACAAGGGCGCTACTCCGCCAATTCCCTCCCTTGATAAGATCATAAATAAATTATATTACTATAAGTTAATATAAATTAAATTAATTTTTAATCTGATTTTAACAAATTATAAATAGGGTTTAATTAATAAGGGGATGTAGTGTAAATAAATATAGAAAAACAATATAATGTATAATTATGAAAAATTTACATTTTTTTTAAACTTGGCATTCTTTAATATGATGAGGGAGCAATTAAGATGTAAGAGGAGGATAAAAAAAAAATTGATTTTGATGTCCAAAAAGTTTTTGCGCCTATTCTGAAAAAATTCTAGATACATCCTTGCCAACTTATATAAGCAGGCCCTTTTTACTAAAATTATATTTAGTAAAATACAGTACATGCTCATTAGAATTGAATGTACAAGTTATAGATATTTTACAATAATGCCACAGACAATTTAATCATCGCAAAATTACATTTAATTCATGTCTAGACATGAAGATCAATAAATTAAACTTTAATTATGTTGTAATTATCAATAAATATCTATTCATAAGGAATTTAATAAATTAAATAATAATTTTTAAATATCTAAATTTTCTTTTTATATGATAAAAACTGCTGAATATATTATAAATCTATACAATTCACATAATACATAAATACATCGTTAATAATATTAACACAAAGAAAACTAATAAAATTAAAAAAAAAAAATCCATTTATAAGAAAAAAAATGACTTTGAATTTTAGGAATTTTAATATATCACATTTATGAATTTTTTAAAAATTGAAACGTAAATAATATATTACAAATAGTTGGAGAAAATTTAATTAATTCTACCAAAGAAATAAAATAATTTTGAAACATTTCATTTCATTATTATTTTATTGAATAATCAAACGTTTACATGAGTTTTCAAGATGGCCAATATGAATTTTATTATAAAATCATAGAAAAACAGTTATTTTTTTTTTAATCGTCAAAACATTTTTATTAACCTTTTTTTATTAAAAAAAATCTTTTAACTTATATTAATTTTGACCTATTAAAATTTGTTTTTGATAACACTATGAGGCCCTGATATGTACTAAAAATTTAGACAGAGGTAAATGCTCAAGTTACCTCTTCTTAAGAATACACTTTGAAATTTCACATTTGAAATAGTCAAATAGTCATTTGAAATAACATGACAAACATCTTATCATTCTGATACATTATATTTAAACAATAAAAATAAGCAAATGCTTTTCAAATGCCAAGTTCCGAGCCCTGGTTTTAAGTTAACATTAAGATACATTGAAAATAATTTTTTAAGAAAAGTTAATAGTGACTAATGATAATTAATAGCCAACAATTTATTTAAAAATTAATAAATTCATAATTATGAATAAATTTTCAATAATTTTATCTTTAATTATTAAAGGAAAAATCATGGAAGCATGTCTACACGTGCTTGTTATCATCCATGTTGAGTAAAATAAAAAAATTGTTTCTTAGGACAAAGTATTTAGACGATTTTTCTGTAAAAAAAAATAAAAATTCTAATTTTATAAAAATTTTGATACATACATTTTAATATAAAGCAATTAGTAATAAAATTCCAAAGTACATAATTCTTAAAAAAATACTTACTAATGGCAAATTATCACTTGGGCGGCTGTGTACAAACTACATTTCAATCACGTGACTACTTATGGACCACAATAATGATAATGCTGTTCAAAATCATATTGTGTGAATCTTAATTGCCTGTATTTATCAACAGTTTACATTACTATCCCTTCTTTCGGCTTCTCATGATTAATTTAACACTAGATTGTATACGACTGAGAATGCATGTGCTTGATGATAGTACCCAATAGGTACACTCGCCTGTCGGGTGTGTGTTGGTGAATAGTAATTATGTAGTGTTTACTTTTAAATTTAACATTACTTAATTACAGTTTTTTCCTTAAAATTTAAAATTATAAAATAATCCTCTACAGCCCAAAAAATATTATGATCAAACGCTCATAAGGTAAATATTAATTATGATTAATTATCGTTTTAAGATTTGATACTTTTAGAATTTTATTTTTAAGTAGAATTAGTTACTAATTTTTATGTTAAATGGTATATTTAAAAAAATTAAACGTCTAAAGAATAAAGTTGTTATTAAATAATTAAATATGATTATTTATAATTCAATCTCAACAAGGAAATAACTATTTTCGTGTTATACTTCTGGAATACTTTTAATTATAATAACATATATATGGTAAACTGTACAGTTATTAACACCTTAAGAAAATACCTAGATTATAATCAGTATATTTGTTCATTCACATAAACTGAAATTTTTACCCTAGATTTGAAAAAAATTGATTAGAAATCGAATTATGACTTTTTACGATTTATATAAGTTCAGTACTTAAAAAAAAAAATAGATTTAAAAAATAAATCAAAATACACGTTATTGGCGCCTTTATTTTTCTTGAAGTGAGGCTCTTATAGAAAATATCCCTGAAATAAAAAAAAGTGATGAGCTAAAAAAGAAAAAACAGAAAAACTGTGTATTACTAATCATGACTAGGCTAGTAAAATTTGTAAAATGTTTATGGACCTGGGAGCATTCTCCTCCCTGCCCATTTTACCGGACCTGTATACAGAATTATCCATTTTAATAATCTCTTCACTATTCGCAAATATACAATGTTAAAACAATTTTTAATTTTTTTATTACGTATTTTTCTTGATTAATTACTTTTTATCATTATCTCTTATAGTTTATAAGGTTGTTAACTCTATTTTTTTTTAATGATAACATATATAACTAGTTTAGTAAATAAGAAATAGTTTAATTCATAAAATAACGAGTTGATAACAACTTTTGGATCAGTTCTTCGAAAGCCATTAACTTTTTTATGGCCGGGAGGGAGAAATGCGACAGAGAATTGTTTAATAATATACGTATTCTCCATTTAATTATCTGTATATCTCTTCCAATTTATATTTTATAATCGTTATAACTTCTGGTATATTGGTTCAAAAGTTGTTACCAATCCATCATTTTCTCAATTAGATTATTTCCTATTCTATAACTAGTTAAATATGTATGTTGCTATTTAAAAAAATAGAGTAAACACCCTTGTAAGTTATAAGAGTGAGACGTAACTAAAAAAACCAAACTTTTTTTTTTACGTTGTAATTATTTTGCAATTTATTGAGGAATAACTCTGTTTAAATTACTCTTTATAGAAGGCCGTATTAAAGTGTCAGGCGGTTTCGGGATCTTTGGGGATCATGATTATGTTAAACTGTTCACCTGTATAAAACTATATCGTCTACCACAAATAGTATATAGTATTTGACACTGTACAAGGTCAAATCATTTCAGAGTCTCAGAAAACCAGTTTAACCACAATACAGTTTTTTACTCAAGTTTGTTATCGTTAAACATAAATCGTGGCCCTGAATGGTGGATCAGACTAGCGCTAGTAGTACTGGTCCAATATTTTTCATTGTATAAATAGCGTATATGATTAGATTGCATTGAAAATATGCAATAATTTTCCAAAACTAATAATAATTGATTTCTGATAAGTGAAATTCATTATATGACACAAAAAAGAACACTTAAATATAGTATCAATTTACAATAATAAAATGCCTTGTCTGATGTTTTTTTTTAACTCGGAAAGTTTCATTTGTTAATATCAAAAATGCGTATTTTAAAGAAAATGTCTATTGATAATTATATTTATTACTATAATCAATATAATTAACATCCAATATAAAATATTATGAGCCAATAATGATAGGAGTAATAATTTCACTATTTTTACAATGATTACATTTATTAAAGACTTTAAGACAACAACAATAAAGTAAATTAAATTCAAATACGTGGGTTGTTTTCATATCTTTTGCGTTGGATTTTCACAAAAAGTATACCATAAAAAAAAAATTTATATTGTCTTTAGTATACTCTAATAAAATTTGACAAAAATTCATTATTATAACGATATTACAATTTTAAAATGCAAAAATAAATTGTGTTTTTGCTGTTTTTAACAACTACTGAATTTTAACATATTCTTCTTAATTTAAAAAACCCAGCACAGGGGGGTCGCGGCACAGTGGTGACGTGGNAAAAAAATCCAACCAAACCCAGCACAGGGAGGTCGCGACACAGTTGTGCCGTGGTATAGTTGGATGAAGTATAATGATATCTAACAGTGATGAAAATCACTATCAAAAATAAACGCTTCGATGCAAATCTTTAGATTGTGTTTAATTTTAAAAAATTTGTGGATTATTCCAAAAGCTTCATAAACTGCTAGTTCCTTATTAATATCCTGATTAAGACAAAGTATGTAGAATAAAAAAGAGATCATTAGAAAATAGTATTTCCCATAAAAAAATTATATTGATCAATACACTTTTCAATAAGTTATAGCATTATAATGTTAAAAATGTAAAAAATAAAATTGAGAATTTTCACACAATAATAGCATTTGGTAGCCATTTTCACC